TGATAAACAGAATCTTATACATGTTTAGTATGCAAATCATGATGGAGAAGCGTAGACGAAGAAGAGAATCTCATAACGCAGGTAATGTCGATATTTATATGAGAGAGAGAGGAAGTTATTAAAATGTATATATAGTTGAAAGAAGGCGGCGAGATAATATCAATGATCGAATTCAGGAACTATGTAGTTTATTACCTGAGAATGCATTAGAAAATGCCACTTTAGGGCCTAATAATAAGCCAAATAAGGGTATTATCCTAAAGAAATCAGTTGAACATATGCGTCAATTACAACAACAGGTGCAGGACTACCATCAAAAAATACAAGATTTGGAGAAAACCTTAAACGAACTGTGTCTACACCAAGACAGACTTTAAAATATTCCCCCTCATGCTTTTTATTGTATTATTATATGTATCTCTTGTTTTTATATAAATAAACTTTTTTTTTTTATTTTAGCTCCAAGGATTTTCTACCTCTTCCCAAATATTTACACTTGTCGGGACAGTTTTGATAGGCGAATCATTGCTAATGCCTGCGAATCCAACATCTCTTTGTTCCTCTGCGATGTGATGAAAGAATTGATCAGGATCCACCTCTTCTCTCTCTCGATGTATCTGTCCTGTGTTCCAACTTGTGATCAAATCTGCAAATACTCTTCTCTTTTGTGGTTCAATCTCTTGGACAGGAACTCTAGTTATAGGTGAGCTTACGGAAGGTTCTAATGAGATAGATAATGCCCAAGGATCTAGCTCTACGCCGCCTGCAGTAGTAGTAGTGTGTGTAGGTGAACTTACAGAAGGCGATAGTGGTGTACGTACTTTAAGTGAATCTATCCCGTCTATTAATAAATCTGGTGTTAAGCTGGTTGTATAGTTGATGGCATGTGTCGAGAAAGATATGGTTTCATCTGCAAATGCTCGTGTAGCCTCATCTTCGATCACTGGAGTTGCATCATTGGTATCATTTTCTTCTTCTTCTTCTTCTTCTTCTACTTGTCTATTTACCACCTGCAGCTGAGGTGGCTCTGTTTGTTGTTGTTGTTGTTGTTGAACAGATGCTACAGTTTTGTCCACTGATGATGGTGATGGTAGTGTTACAGACGGAGATACTGGCTGATTTTGTATATCACTCGAAACAGAGGAGGATGTGGAGGTCGAAGCAGAAGGCTTTGTACTGCTTGATGACTTGAAGAATCGACTAGCAGAGGCAAAAAATGAAGATGATTTGGTATCTTCTACAGAAGGCTTTATGGGCGTAGGTGGCGTAGGTGGCGTAGGAGTTTTGGCAGGGGATGGTGGATTTGTTGATACTTTAACGGGTGATGAAGGCTGGACAAGAGGTTTTGTTGTTGTTGTTGTTATTTTCACTGGTTGTTGCTTTCGCATAGAATTGCCATTACTTTCTATCGAGGGAGGCTTTTTAGGAGCTCTTCTCATCCCACCAAACAAGTCCTCGTCTTCTTCAAGTGGTTTGTTTGACCTTAGAGAATTTGGAGATCGCCTACCGAGTTTTGAAACATCAATGTCTCCAAATATACTGTCTGCTTTTGTACGGCGAGAAAAGAGTGGCGTGCTGCTGCTAGAGTCTATATCATTGCGTGATAATGGGTCTACTTTCACTGGTGAGCTTGTCCTTGTACTTTGGCTGCTCTTGGTAGGTGCAAAAAGAGGGTCATCTGTGCTGCTAACTAGTGCCGCATTTAAAGGATCTATTACAAGTATAAGTAATGTGCTTGAATATCTGCTTGAATTACACTTGCCATCACCAAACAAATGACCGTGTTTAGCTCGTTGTTTGGCTTTAAAAGACATTCTATGAACAAAGAAGAAAAAAAAAAAAAGAAGAAAAAGAACAAGCAAAACCTTGGCCCGAAACCCTCTCGTCGCACGGACTTTAAATGTACTTGCACGCACGTGGTTTTACTGAAGACTTTATGAAGGAATGCATAAAGATTAATTTCAAGTGTTTCTCCTTTAGAACCTCCTCCAAAAGCACTTTAAGCATCGGTTTATCTATAGTTTAATAAAGACCCCCGTCAGGATTTGCCGAAGCGATACACCGGCATCAAGTCTTTATTTCTCCTTGTTTATTCACCTCTTTACTACTCTTACGGGCAGGGCAAAGTTCAAACTATTGTCACAGATGGTTGCTACATTTACTTTTTAAATAGCGTTCAAGAATATGTACTGTTTTATTTTGCAGACAAAAATAGATAGAAGCAATTTAAGATCTGGGCTTTTCCTTCTTTTCCTTGTACAAAGCAAGGAGGGAGACACCAGCGACCTTGACAATCTTGAAACGGACACCAGGAATATCACCGACGGCACGACCCTTACGACCGAAACCGGCAATCAAGACTTCGTCGTTTTCGTCAACATAGTTCAAACAACCGTCATTGGGGACGAAGGCAGTGACCTTCTTACCGTTCTTGATGAGTTGAACACGGACACACTTACGAATGGCAGAGTTAGGTTGCTTGGCTTCGACACCAATCTTTTCGAGAACGATACCCTTGGCGTGAGAAGAACCACCGAAAGGAGATGAGCGGTAGGCGGTTCCAAGGGCTCTCTTCTTGTATTGTTTATCGGCCCAACGTTGATCACGACGGTGAATACGAAGCTTACGAGCAGCGTTCAAACCTCTAGGTTGTCCCTTACCTACAAATTGTGTTGTTAATGACGGCTCCATTCAACATGTCAAATTCTCTCTCTCATCATTCTCTTTTTTTTTTTAAGCTGGTTTGTGCAATCCACTTTATATCTATATATATATATATTTCTTCCATCCATCCATTCATCCATCTCTTTACCCCTCCCTTCTCTCTCTCTATGTGTATGTTTTGTAGATGATCTTACCCATGATGAAATCTGATAAAAAAGGAAAGAACAATCCATTTGCCAGCTTGACTCTTCCTTTTGGGCTTCCTCCTACTTGCTCACACTGGAATTCCGTAAATTTAAACTCAGATACGTATGCACGCTGCGCATACTCGGACCTTCACTTTCTTGGACTACATTCTGCCCAACAAAGAGTGTTGTCTTGAGAAACATGGCATAAAGAGATAAGTCACCATGTAGGATAAACTGAAGATCTAACAGCTTTATTGGTATAATTTATGTTTTGACAGCTTATTTTAACAAATGTATCTTTGACGGTTTCAATGCTTCTTTCTCTTGTTGTTTTTCTTGGAAAACCAATGGCATATCGCTCGACAGCATCCATCTTGGAAGAGGGGGACAGTAGGGCCCTCTTTGTGTTCTGCCGCAGCTTGTTGTGACTATTTATTTAATCTGAGAATAGATTTACTTGAGCAAATATGACCACAGAGCTTCTCTCTTTTACATTATCCTATTTTACATGTCAACACTTGATACTTGGGCACAAGACAAACTGAGTGTCTTCTTGGGCTTTGACCCAGAAACAATTCGTGCACAAGTGCTTCCATACCTTATGTCAACACAAACACCAGAAGCTTTTGGTGAACGCCTTATGGTAAAAAGGAAATATTAAAAACATTGAATATCATATTCATCATGGATAGGAAATGGTTGGACTAAGTGAAGATGCTTTAAAATTTATTGAAGAATTCACAGAACGTCGATTTCATCCCGAGAGGCGACAGAACACGACTACTGTTGTTGCTAGTGGTAGTAATAACCGTTTGGATACACCCACTCCAGAGTCTTTTCCCGATTTGCCAGCTACACAGCAACCTCAAGAGACATTGTGGCCTGTCAATATCAGTGTTCATCATAAGAAGGAAGACGAATACTTTTCAAAGTAAAAAGAAAAAGAAAAAGTAATGAGACAGGATGCTAAATCTATTTTAGCTTACGAAAATCAAAAAAGAAAAACAAATCGAACAACGACCTTCGATCCGCAGCCATTTTGACAGATAAACCAAAACAGGAAAAAAAGAAGAAGAAGGAGATGTCGCTGGAAACTGCCTTGAAGGAATTAAATATCAAAACAGATACCAAAAAGAGAAAACCGTGTCAATGTCAGGCAACCAAGCATGAACTGTTGACGGTTGCACCCAACTGTTTGAATTGTGGAAAGATCATATGTGTTGCAGAAGGCGTGGGTCCGTGCACTTTTTGTCATTTGCCTATACTTTCTTCTGATCAAGAAGCTGCATTGATTGCGGAAGCGAAACGGAAACGCGCTGAACAGAATCAACCACAGAAGCAAGAGACGGCGTCTGTTGGATACGCGGCAAGGGTCAATGGAGAACTGTTTTCACAGATGTATTTGTTTGATGACGACGCAAGAAAATCCGGGAAACAGCAGTCTGAAAAAGCGGAGGGCTCAAAACGGAAAGTGATGACAATTGATAGTAAATCAAAGCAAGTCATTGTAGAGAACATAGATTCAGCTTCATCATCGTCTTCTTCAGAGGATGAAGAACCAGTGATACCCTCTACAAGACGTGGAAGAGATGCATTCTCTGCAGGAACCTATGCAAATAATCCATTATTAAAAGGAGATAGTGTGCCTAAATTTGTTGGAAAGAAGAAAAAGTCGAACCAAAGACAAAATGATAATAAACAAATTGTGCAAGCGTAGCGCTTATACATGACATATACACCTTTTTCGTACACATGAGGAAAAAAGTTTGGAACAGTTTATTGAAAAATACTCGTGCACTTTCCACATGAAATTTCGTACATTATATCAAGAATAATATAAGCATAAATAATGTCAGTGACAATAATATAAATAGCAGTCCTGGATTCTCTACTCATATAAAACGCACACGCATCTTATTTACAAAGAATGTAATTCGTATGTTGTCGACTTAATAACCTTTTTCCAATTACAAAGCTGAATACAACAGCTGTCATCGATTGGACCCCTCTACATGAAGACATATCCATTAGCAAAGACACAGCTGATCTTTTTATTTGACAACTAAAAGACTTGTTATAAATCAAAAAAAAAGATTGAGTTTTCATCACATATTGAAGCATACGTTAAAGACAAAGACTTAGATGATGTTGCCATTGTAACAAAGTTCAACAAGTACCCCGAAGTGCTGACTATCAACATGAAAAAATACACTAATGACAAAGGAGGAACGTGGTATGAGCTGCGTTTTCTACATCGCAGCATTCATATAGTAAGCTATTTCCTTCGATGAAATCAATAATTTAAGAAATATGCTGAACAGCGTTCACTATTGGGCTTCGAAGAAAAAGCTGGCAACGAACAAATTTTGTTAATTATACTTCGAGCTTTGTGCTTTTGGTTGCTGTAATCATTCTTTTCTTTATTAGTTCGAATTGTACAACATAAAGTAAAACACAATGATCCTTTATCTTCTTGAGCGAGACTGTAACAAACAGAGACAAACCGAGAAGAAAGCAGGAAGAGGAGGGTGAGAACAACCAAGATCACTTCAAGTGTAATTACGATAATACTTCATAAATCCGTATACTACATCAAATAAATTGTTCCAAACTTTTTTTTTCCTCATGTGTACGAATTTTTTCACAAAGTGCGTGAAGAAGATGTACCATAAAAATAAACAGTGTATTCGGGCTTGGAAATAGAAAAGACCCCGTTTTCACTTCTTTAAACATTACTTTTTTTCTCATTCATGACGTATCCTTCACAATGTTATGGAGAAGAGGGTGCAAGGTACTGCATTTTATGTTTCTCTCTGTTTTTCGCTTAACGAGATAATGTATATTGATTCACCAAAAAAAAGATTAGATCAAGCATTTCATTTGACTTTTAAACACAATCAATTGCCACCCAACATCTTGTTGAAGGCTGATTCAGGCATAGGTAACAAAAAAAAAACTGTTTTTCTTGTTTTTATATCAACTTTTAACCATAGGAAAAACATTTATATCCTCTTATTTGGCCAAGCAGTACAATGTCAATATGTATACAGCCATACTGGGTGAGCTGGCAGCAAGTCATCATGGTCACCTGTCAAAAGGATTTAGACGACTTTTATGGAAAGCAACCAACCAACAGAACACCTCCTTATGTATGTTTACGTGATTATTGACATCTTAAATACTAATTGTACACAAAAAAGTGCTGATTGAAGATCTCGATCTCTTTTTCTCAAAAAACGCATCCGAGCCACAAGACAATGAACTCTTTCCAATGCTTTCTCAATTCCTAAAACAACATCACATCATGGTCATATCAACTACACGAAGACCAGATCAACTGCCCTTGGGAGTGAGATCCTGGTTTGACGATGAGATTCACTTGCAGATTCCTACACCCATAGAGCGACTGTGCATCATGCAACATATCTATGACTCGTATTTTTATATCCGTACTACTCTAAATCAAGACGAAATGTATCAGCTATCTTTTATGGCTCACGGGTTTGTTCCTGCAGATATCATGCATTGGTTTCAATTGGCTGAAGAAAGCGCGTTATTAGAGGGAAATGCATATGGTACGGGACATAGAACACGTATCATGATATTTTTTATAACTCTTTTTTTAAAAAGTGACGATAGACAATTTCAAAAATACGCTTCATAAAGTCAAGTTGACAGGACTAGATACGATCATGGCAGAGAAACCAAACCCGGTACGCTGGGAGGATATCGGTGGACTGACAGAAGCAAAAAGAACATTAGAGGAATCCGCAGTTTGGATCTATCAACACGCAGATGCTTATCAACGACTTGGCATTCGCCCTTCAAAGGGGTTGCTACTGTATGGACCTCCAGGAACTGGCAAAACTCTGCTGGCTAGAGCAGTCGCCACAGAATCCTGTGCCAACTTTTTGACGATAAGTATACCCGATCTGATCAAAGGAGAGGTAGGCGAGTCAGAAAAGGCCGTATCTCGTATCTTTCAGACCGCTGCCCGGTGTAGTCCCTGTGTGGTGTTTTTGGATGAGCTCGAGGCGATCTTTTCTTCAAGAGATACCAGTGGTGATGTCGGAAAGAAGTTGATCTCACAGTTCTTGATTGAGATGGATCATTTGGATAGATCCAATGCAAGTGTCATCTTGTTGGGCGCTACCAATTATCCAGAGGCTATTGATAGTTCCATCTTGAGACCCGGAAGACTAGATCGACTCGTTTATATAGGTCCTCCTAATGTAGAGGAAAGAGAACAGATCTTGCATGTGTTGGGAAAGCAGACAAGACTAGGACCTGATGTGAATCTTGAGAGGGTAGCACAATTGACAGAAGGTTATACAGGTGCAGATCTTAAAGCTGTGATAAGGAAAGCCGGTTTATTAGCATTAAAAACGCAATCATTGGAGGTGAAGCAAGAGCACATTGAAGAAGCTTTGCAATCCGTAAATCCATCACTGTAGTAAAATAAAAATAGGATTTAATGAGGAGAGCATAAAAAGATTTACAATTTATTGCACACACACAAAGTCTAATAATGATTAAAGTAATTCCAAGGGATTTTCATATGTTTAGAAATGATAGAGAGAAAACAGTCTAAGGGAAGTGTATTTACAAAGCGGCATCAAGTTGGCCAGTTGCAGCCAAGAGGAGACCAAGGAAGAGAGGAGCAGGTTTCAAAGGACGAGTGAGGTATTCGGGGTGGTACTGACAGCCAACAAAGTAAGGATGATTCTCCATTTCGACAATTTCCATACGCTGACCAGTTTCGTCCTTACCGACAAATCTAAGGCCAGCAGCTTCAAACTTGGCGACATGTTCAGGATTGACTTCATAACGATGACGGTGGCGTTCGTCCACAGCGGGCTTATTGTCGTATAATTTACGAACACGAGAGTTTTCTGTGCCTTCTTGGAAGACAGTAGGACGGAGACCAAGACGCATGGTACCACCCATATGAGTCTTGGAGATTTCGGGCATGTAGACAACAACAGGTGTGGTTGTATCAGGGTTCATTTCAGCAGATTCAGCGTCGGCCATGCCACAGACATGACGGGCAAATTCAATAACAGCGATTTGCATACCCAAACAGATACCCAAGTAAGGGATCTTGTTTTCACGAGCCCATTTGGCAGCCATGATCATACCTTCGATACCACGGTTACCGAATCCACCAGGAACGAGGATACCATCAGCAGAGCAGAGATTTTGCCAGGATTCATGGAACTTGATAGGATCGGTCTTGAGTGTTTCTGATTCCAGATCAGTAGCTTCGATCCACTTGATGATCAATTTACGCTTGCATGCAAGTGCGGCATGTTCGAGTGCCTTGTAGACGGAGATGTAAGAGTCATGAAGATCGGTATATTTACCGACAAGAGCAATAGTGACCTTTTCATGAAGATGTTCATAGCTGCCAGCCAAGGTGGTCCACTTCTTCCATAATTCTTCACCGGCTAAACGTTGATCATCGGGAATCTTGATGGAATCCAAGTTGAGGCGACGACGGAAGAAGTCGATGACACCTTTTTCACGCATCAAAATAGGGACATGGTAAACAGAGGATACATCATGAACAGCCAAGACTTGTTCAGGAGCAACGTGACAAAACATGGAGATCTTGGAGGCAACACTAGCATCCAAGGGCTTGGAGGAACGACAGGCAATCAAGTCAGGAGAGAGACCAGCACCTCGGAGATCACGAACGCTCATTTGAGTTGGCTTTGTCTTTTGCTCGCCAACGGAACCGACAACAGGGACCAAGGACACATGGATCAAACAAAAGTTTTCATGACCGACACGGAATTGGAACTGACGCATGGCTTCGACAAAGGGAGCAGATTCAATATCACCGACAGTACCACCCAATTCGATAATACATACATCAGGCTTTTCTCCAGAATCGTCAACAGGTAAATCTGCAACACGTTCGACCCAGCTTTGGATAGCATCCGTAATGTGGGGGACGACTTGAACAGTCTTGCCGAGATAATCGCCTTTGCGTTCTTTTTCAATGACTTCACTATAGATTTTACCTGTCGTGATGTTGTTGATACGGCTTAATTCGACATCAAGGAAACGTTCATAGTTGCCCAAGTCTAAATCGACTTCGCCACCGTCATTCAATACAAAGACCTCACCTAAACGCATATGATATCAGAAAACTATTTCTCTTCACAGCATATTTAGCGTACCATGATCTAAAGGACTCATCAAACCAGCATCAATATTGAGGTAAGGATCAATCTTGATGGCTGTTACACGAAGACCCAATGTCTTCAAGAGAGTACCAGTACTGGATGCAATAACACCTTTACCAATACCAGAAATGACGCCACCAGAGACAACAATATATTTAGTCATGTTTTCAAACAATAATTCTGGGGAAAGAAAAAAAGAAAAAAATATTGAGAGAATTTTTATTTTTTATTCAAAGGACCAAGGGCAAGATTCAAGAGTGACTCCAGATCGATCTAAGCCACAGACACGCAAAAATTATAAACAAGCCACAGAAGGACACACTGGAAATAAAACATGCGTATGACTTAAAAATTTTTGTTCCTTCTCTCTTTTTATCCTTATTTCAGAAATGTCAACTTTTGAAAAGGTATAACATCATCTTAAACTGCAGTAACAATAAAGACCCAAAAAAGAGAGAGAGAGGCAACGAAGTGTTGTGCGTGTGTGTGTTTGTGAAAAGGATACAAATCTGACATTGTTACTGCCTTGCTTCACATCAACTTTACTAACCTACATGCATTAGGTTGTTGTTATTGACGGTAAGGGTCACCTTCTCGGTCGTCTTGCTTCCATCATTGCCAAGCAAGCCCTCAATGGTCAAAAGGTCGTTGTTGTCCGTTGCGAAGAATTAAATGTCTCTGGCGAATTCTTCCGTAACAAGTGTATGTATATACAAATGTTGATCCAGTGAAGATATTAACCTTCAGTATAGTAAAGTACCACGCCTACCTCAACAAGCGTTGTGTCGTTAACCCTCGTCGCGGTCCTTTCCACTTCCGTGCTCCTTCTCGTATCTTGTACAAGGCTATCCGTGGTATGATTCCCCACAAGACCGCTCGTGGTGCTGCTGCCTTGGACCGCATCAAGCTTTTCGAAGGTGTTCCTGCTCCTTATGACCGTGTCAAGCGCATGGTCGTTCCCGACGCTCTCCGTGTCCTCCGTCTTAAGCCTGGTCGCAAGTACACCACCATCGGTCGTATCTCCCACGAAGTTGGATGGAAGTACCAAGATGTTGTTGCCAAGCTCGAAGAGAAGCGTAAGGCCAAGTCTGCTGCTTACTACCAACGTAAGGTTGCCCTTGCTGCCATTCAAAAGAAGGCTGCTGAAGCCAAGGCTGATGCTGTTAAGGATGTCAACTCTGCCATCGCTGCCCTTGGTCATTAAATAAATAAATAAAAATGGAAAACATGCTATGTTTTTATTTGTGGTAAAAAAGACAAACAGTGAGTTAACCATTGAATGATCCACTCCAACACACTTTGCTCTTTTTGTCGAGGTATATCGGATAGTCTATAACTTGTGTTGTCTACCGATGACGACGGTAAGCTGTAAAGGATGTCACGGATGGCACCGTTTGAAAGGTTGGGATTCATACGCCAGAGAAGAGTTTCTTGATGTTCTTCTATATCGATTACTATGCTCTCATTCGTTTCTATCTCGTCTTGATAGACGAGCTGCATGCATAGTATGCCCTTGAGTAACCGTACATAGGCCTCTATGGCTTCTTCATTGTTTTGAGTCAGGATATATTCACTCAGTGACCATTCTGCTAATCGATCTTTATGAGCTAGTTGGTATTTTAACAAGCCTCTGAGACCACTGATGAATGGGACCGATCCTAGATCAGTCTTGTGTGCATTGACAAATTCTTTGATAAGGGCTAATCGTTGAGTTTGAGTCAAGTCTGAAAGTGGATGTATCTCGGCCAACGTTTTCTTTAGGTGTGTCTTTAACTCTTCTTGACGACGTCTGTGCCATTCAGTACGGGCCTCTCGTTTGATTTGCGCCAATTGTGCAAATGTCTCTGAAGGTAATGTGAAGGTGTGTTCGGCGCCATTTGAACAGCCAATGTTGCAAAGTAGTTGCTGGTAATCAGGTCGTTGGGTTGTCCAAGCATAACCGTTATCTGTAGCTGTCTTACATCCTTCTACAAACAACACAAAATCATTTGCTTCTGTCTGGTTATTAAAGGCATTAATACAAAGTTCTCGCCAGACTTGTTCGTGATTCATTAGTAAAATAAAAAACAATAGTATCGATCACATGAAATGCACAACTAAATATATGCTTTATTTTGTATTCACAGTTTATGGTTCCAGCGGTTGTTCACCATACCAAATCTTTAATCCTTCATATGAAAAGTATTCGGAAGTAGGTGGGAACAGTTGAGTCCTTTTTGTACTCTTCTTTTGAGATTGTTGTCTTGGACTTTGTCTTGATTTTTTATTATTTGCTTCTATTTTAGCTCTCCTTGCTTCTACTATTTCTCTAATCATCTTTGCTCTTTCTTCGTATTCCTTTCTTTCAGCTTCATTCATTTCCTTTTGTTCTTCTTTCTCTTCTTCTTTTTCTTGTTGTTGTTGTTGCTGCTGAGATACGTTATTATTACTATCTTTAACAAAGAAATAATTATCAATTCTCATCTGATGATCATTTCTTCCTTCTTCCTTTTCTTCTTCTTCATAATCAGGTATCTTTTCTTTAACATTAAATGGATCTTCTACATCGCCACTTTCTTCAGGCTTTAATCGTTCTTTTCTTGGATCGACATCATAAGGGTATAACTCAGTTGACACATATTGTTGTTCTTTATAACATGTTGTCAGCCATAAAGGTGACACTCTATGTATGCCATGTTTCAAGGCGTCATGAATCACCTTGGAATTTGTATTTCCTGTCTTTGGTCCGTGAATCAAGTGCGTTACGCTTTTCTTATCCATCGTATCCTTGACTTGCGCCCTCATTGCTATTGCTATTTGAGCCAGGGCCTTTCTATTAGATAAAGACTTGTCTATGTATAGCACATAACCCTCTAGTACTGGTTGACTATATCTTATTGCTTCTATTCCTAGTTCGTCTTGTATGGCTCTTTTATTCAACTGGCTCTCTTTTTTTATATTTTGTCTCTTTGATATGCCTGTCAATGTCGTCCTGGGTCGTCTCTTGGTAACTGATGTGTATTTACGTTTAAAATGAAAAGAATCTCCCGTGATCTCCATTGTTGGCATAAGATTCATTTTATTGTCAATCAATGTAAGAAACTACGCAAAAAAAAAGAACGAGAAAAATATGCTGCTAGAGTATGTTGACCAATAAAATATTGTCGTCGTTTCAGTCTGGCATTGTGATAAACAGTAGCAGTCCTCAAAAGCAAATAACCTTATATGCATTCAAAGATGCATACGAGACTTGCTTTCAAGTACTTGACAGCTGCTTCAAACAAGCAGAGCAGTTATTACTCTCATTTCTACTCTTTTATTTACAAAAATATGGATTTTACAGCCAAGAATGGATGGTTTGACCACTTGTCTTTAACTCGTTGTTTTTCAATCCATATGGAAGTAGTGTAGCATGTATCGAGTTGGAGAGAATTTTATGCATTTTCTTTATTTGGTTAAAGGAAAGCTACTTTGTCAGTTTGTTTAAATGATTTTGTATATGAAAAGAAAAAAAAAGGAAAGAAAAGGGGGGAGTAAATGAATGGGAATTCTAAAGGTTCAAGGCTATAAGATATATAAAAAAGTGGAATATGCTGTGTGATAATATGAATGTGTGTGTGTAATAAAAAGGAAAGTCGAAAGGAGGGGAGGTGAAGCATAGAATGAAAATAATTTAGGAGCGTCTTATTCTTTGCTTAACTTTACTAAGTTGAGAATCTACTTGATCCAGCATTGCTTCAAGTTCTTCTTTACGTCGTCGTGATTGAGGGCCTCCGCCTGATAATGGAATCTTTGAATAAAATGATTGAAGCTATATAGTTTTTATGAGTAAGAAAGAAGCCAGAAAAGCTAACTTTTTCTTACCTTTTCCTTTTCCTTGGTAAGTTTCATCAATTGACTATCAAGATCCTTTTCTTCAGATGCATCAAGTTCATTCTTGATGCGGTAATCGCTATCCATAGATTGTGGGGTACCAAAGGGTGTGGGAGTAGAGGGTGCTGGTAAGTTACTAGGAATAGGTGAACAACACAGGTCATCCTCTTCTTTGGGAGGAAGTTGTGGTGATCCATTGGGTGTATTCATGTGGTAACTAGTCGTCATTTAGTTTTCACGTTACATTTTTTGCTCTTTGTTTTACCTCTGTGCTTTCTTATTGTTTGCCGATGCAGCAGCAGCAGCAGCAGCGGCAGCCGAAGCTGTTACACGACTTATTTCTGCGGCATGAGATTGAATCAGTTGATCCATTGTCAATTTCAGTGATTCGACTTGTTCTCTTGATACATTCAGTTCGATAGTCAATTCTCTTATTCTTTTATCTCCAAGTTCAATAGACTGTTGTAGTTGTCTCTTTTCTTGTTTACACTCAATCAAGTGATTCTAATAGAATGCCGTTAATACGAGCTTTGTGTACCCTTTAATCTATTTACTTCCAACTCTGATTTATATTGATCTACAGCAAATGATTGATCTCTTGCATTATCAGCATTTGCTTTCATCTTGTTCATAATCTCATTCATGTCCTCCAGCTGTCTTTGATTCTTTATCTTTTCTTCTTCCAACTGTTGTAATAACTCTGACTTTTCAGCGTATAATTCATCCACTGTCAAACCAAGATAATCCAGATCCTTGGTGATAGCTTTTAAAAAAAAATATAATAAATTTTTAATTAATATAGTCTATTACAAGTTACCCTACCTTCTTTCTGTTTTCGTAATGAATCAACCACCGATCTTTCCTTTTCGAGCTCTTCTTTCAGTTTAGATACTTCTTGTTGCAACAATGCTTGATTATCTTTTTGTTCATCTTGTTGAATTGTCGGAGAGTCATCCAGATGACTTTTAGACAATATGACATAGGGTTCACTCTGATCCACGTGTTGTTCGTTATTTGATTGTTTTGGTATATCTCCATGAGGTATCGGAGGGAGGTCCTCGGTAAATAATGGACTACTGTGTTGCCTCTTGTGAAATGATGAAGTACGAGGCATGCTATTGATATATATTAACAAGAGGATATCAATGCATATGTTCGCTTGTTTACCTTGGATGCCTATGACTTTTTATGGAAACAGCGTCTTGTTTATCATCATGACATGCTATTCATAAATGAGTAAAATATGAAATATTTAACTTTATTTATCTAACCTGCTTCAGAGCTTAAAGAAGCATTCGAGCTCTTGTTTTTTCCTAAACCCAATTTTCTCCAGAAAGACGACTTTTCTTTATTATTCTTAGACATGCTTTCTTGACAAAAAAAAAAAACAATAGAAAAAAAAGGTAAGAGAGAGAAAGTAAGAAAGGGAGGAAAAAGAAGAGACGATCCCCAGATAAACTAGTGTCTTTTTTTTTTAAAAAAAAAAGAAAGAAAAGAAAGGAAGAGAAAGAAAGAAAGAGAGAATAATAAAAAGAATCGTGTTACAAGAAGACAGAAAAACTCAGATGAAGGATGAAAACAATAAGGAGTTAAAAAAAGATGAACCTTTCTCAATCGATATTCTCCCTTCTCTCTGTTTTTCTTTCTTTCTTTTCTCTCTCCCTTTTAGCCTTTTAGTAACTTTTAAAATGACATCTATCTTTGAGCAGTCAATAAGGTTTTTGTTTATTTCTTTGGATCAGGTGTTCACTTCATATTCAACCTCGAGAACATCATCAGGAAGAGGTGTCCAATGCTTTTAAAAAGAAAATGACTCTAATCAATTTCCATATGAAAAGAAAAAAAAAGTTGATTTTTGACAAGTTTATCAGTTTAATGATGGGAAAATCAAAATGAACAGTTATTGTTATGCATGCAGATTTAAACTTACAGAATGAGCGAATCAGACAAAAAAGTGGTAAAAATATGAGCCAGCTCTCAAAATTTGGGTCTCAATCTCACATGCTGATTTGTTCATTCGTTTCCCCCAAACTATTGGACTATATATCTGGTTCCTTTTTTTTTAAATAAAATTTTCTTGCTCTTTTCTTTCTTTCTCTTTTATTAAAAAAAAAGGTCATGGATAACGTTCAAGGCTTCTTACCTTATATTGTCTCTGCTATTCTTGCAGCTGGAACTGCTTATTATTTCGCGAACAAAAAGAGTAAGTCTATTTATCACTATGGTAACCTTGTCTAAATTTTTTTTTTTGTTTAGGCGATGTCTTGGACGCAAAGGTATACAAAAGGTTCAAATTGATGGAAAAGATTGCTATTTCCCATAACACAGCCATGTAAGATAGAAATCAACAACAATATATCAAAATAGATCTAACCTTCTTTTTTTTTCTTAGCTATCGTTTTGCTTTACCCCGTAAAGATGCTGTCTTGGGTCTTCCTATCGGACAGCATGTTTCAGTCATGGCCGAAATCAACGGTAAACAGGTTTCTCGTAGCTATACACCAACTAGTTCAGATGATGATCGTGGCCATTTTGATTTATTGGTCAAGGTATGTACATATATATATGCACGATAAAGAAAAAGACAACTAACTATAGTATATAGACTTATCCAAATGGTAACATCTCTAGATTATTCAGTGAATTGAAACTTGGAGATGAATTATCCGTTCGTGGACCCAAGGGCAACTTTGTTTATACACCTAATATGTGCAGAGAAATTGGCATGATTGCCGGTGGCACTGGTATTACTCCTATGCTTCAGGTAAATATGACACTATAGTACATGTGTGCAATACTTACATATTGTTTAGATCATCCATGCCATCGTCAAGAACCCTGCTGATAAAACCAAAGTGAATCTTATCTTTGGTAATGTGAGTGAAGAAGATATCTTGCTTCGTAAAGAATTAGACGAAATTGCTCAAAAGCACGATAATATCTCTGTTTACCACGTCTTGAATAATCCACCCGAGAACTGGACTCAAGGATCCGGATTTATTACTGCAGACATGATCAAGGAGCGCTGTCCTGCTCCTGCAAATGATATCAAAATTCTCCTTTGTGGACCTTTACCAATGATCAAGGCTATGACAGAACATTTGGTTGACTTGGGTTATGATAAACCTCGTGCTGTTAGTCAACTTTCTGATCAAGTATTCAAATTTTAATAAAAAGCCTATTTACAGTCACGTCAATCTGAGCCAAAATTAATGTGTGTGTGGTTCGAGCGCAGAAAAAAAAAGGCTCTCTCTTTTTCACTTTACTTTGTGCGTGTGCGCTTTTGTGTGTGTGTATATAAATATATATATTATTTTAAGAAATGTCGAATCATAATAATCCACCAAAACCACCTCCAATAGGCAACACCGTTAGTAATAGCAGTAATAATAATAATAATAACAATAGTTGGTTAAGCAACATACTTCGACCTCGTGCTTCGTCTGTCTCTGTCGAATCATGTCTAAACATCACCAACAATGATCCTTCACGACCACTCGACGCTCGACCTGTCTTACCACTTTTATCTTCCTCACAGTCTCTCGTCTTTCGCTGCAAACACCTATTGTCGTTTTCAGAGCTATGCAAAAGCTATAGATTCACGCATTTGGAGGATGTCTTCTTTACTGTTCAAGACATTCTTGAACCCAGCAACCCTCGTGAGGCTAGACATGCTGTATATGAATTCATATTAGCCTGTATCATGGGGCAATATTCAGAATTGGGAATGGCTAGGGTCACGTTTTATTCGTCACTAAAGCATGACTTCAACTGGGACGATTTTGCAGACATGTATCGGGTGCTCTATGCGCTCTCTAAAGGCGGACGAGACATTTCTGGATTTGAAAAGAACATAAGCAAGTTATTGATTCATTGGCTAGACACATCTATAGAGAAATACCATAAAAACACAGATGCAGCACGACCCATACCCTATCTAAGTGATTTACTGCATCTGCTCACAGTTACTGCCAAATTCAATTTTGCCTTATTCGAAGAGCATGAAGTCACTTTTATGATTCAAGCGACACACAAGGCATTCTTTGCCTCTCACCATGTAAGCGATATCGAAGCATGCCTGGAATTTGCTGATGTCGTTGTTCGATACCGATTTGTACCCTTTGATGCTCTCACAGCCTTCCTCGATATCCTCTCAGCATCTGCAACCATGCTCGATCAACAAAAATACTGGTCCATTTTTCAAAACCTCCTGCGATCTCACTGTGCTCATTCGGCTATACTGACGCTCTGCAAATTTTTGGATCAGAAGCCGCTCGATACCCACACGCTGACTCTGATCAAAGGCGCAACCGTCCTGCTGAGTGAAACAGTATGGGGAAATAATGGGAAATCAGAAACGTATGTGACGGACTCTGTCGTTCTCATGTATTTCAAACGAGCCGTCGCCAACGACAGTGATCCGGTCAATACAGCTATCCTGCAGGCGCTCACGCTAGCTATCCAATCTAATGCCTTGACCTTCATGGACTGGGATCTCGTTTGGGACGTGATTGATGTCTGCACGCTTTATATACTCAAAATGACAGACTACAACTGTAGTCATGACGTCCATCTCTTTGATGTGCAAAAGGCAGTGTTGGAGAATAATACCTTGGGCGTGAAGACGGTCGTCCAGTTTGCTCGATTGGCTGATATCCTCGTTCAGATGTATGTCGACAAGACCTATAAGGGCCCCGTGAGCCGTCTGATCCAGGTCTTGTACCGTCTACGTGGCTACTGTTCTGACAAGACAGCACTTTTACTCATGGACTATTATGTGGTCGAACATAGTTTTCTGCCCTCAAGTGATGACTGGCTAGATCTCTTACAGGAAATGACCAAGACGTTCTTTATCGATAGCCACACCTCATCCACCGTGCGACTCAAGATGTTGATGATTGTCAGTGATGTCTGCACATTCGTCAAGGACTTTTATTCAGAGATCATTTATGAGTCACTTGTGATCAACATGATGCAGAACCTGTCATCAGAAACAGATCCTGGTATTCGACAAACCGGTATCGATCTCTTGGTATCTTCTCTCTCTGATTGTCAAAACATAGATATCTTTGATAAACTCGTCTTGACTCTCAGTGATTGCGCTCGATGTCGATGTGTATCGAATGACGGGACTTTGGGAACACGAAATTACTGCATTGGTGTGCCTGCCATGTGTGGATTATCAGAAGTCTTTGAGAATCTACTGTTAGCCTCCAACGGAAAGCTATGCGAAAAAACATTCAACATTATCACGCAAATCGCAAATGATCCGTCTGATCTGACGTGTCCTTATGGTGGTCCAAAGATTATCGCTCTTGACTTACTTCTCAGACTACGATGTCCCACAAACCATCATCTCCATTTAATACATGACAGTAAGTATTTCGGATGTATGAAAAACAGTGATTGTTTACACATTATTTATATAGACATGACAGATGACCCACAAGGGTTTATTCATAATGCCAGACTACAACTGCAAAAGCGAAGAGAAGAGAAAGAGAAAAGAAGAAGAGCAGACAGTCTTTTGCTTGGTCCATCAAGGCCACAACAACAACAACAACAACAAGCGGATGATAGTCAACTGTTGAAAGAGCTCGTATTTTATCCCAACCCAAATGTTGTCTCATACAAGTCCAGTGAAGAAGATGACACGACCGTTTTGAATATTGACGACATGCTTAAATCCTACATTCTCGTCCTCTCGGATTCTTCCAACTGGCACCTTGTTCAGTTCCTTTTAAAGAGACTACCTCAACAATTGAGTAACAAGCACCTATTCTGTGGCGCCTCACCGTCCATCAACAAACTCAGAAAATGTCTTGTGAAATGGATAAGCAACCGCAAGTTTCTCGAGAACGTCGTCAATCTGCCTGTCAACGTGAAACGCAATGACCTTACGGTGCATGCCTATAACCTGTTGACGATCCTCATCTCGTATCGCCGTATCTTTACTGATCCTAAACAAGATCAGGATGAGATTGTCTATGCGTTTTATATAGGCATCACACAAGTAACCGCTGCCACGCGTCTCTGTATCAATGCACTGCTAGTATGCTGTTACGAGATGCCTCTGTCGGTAACCAAGATGCTGAACGAGATACTACAGCGCATGTCTCAAATCATTTCGGTGAGCAGTGTATCTGTGCATATTTTAGAATTTCTATCCGCGCTTGCGAGACTACCGAATCTCTATGCCAATTTCACGGGCGATATGTATAAGCCCGTATTTGCGATTGCCTTGAACTATCTGCAGCACTCAAGATCACAGCAAACACAATCACCCATGACATCTCCGTTGCTTTCCAGTGGCCCCAACAGCGCATTGAACTCGCCCATATCTCCTACAGTGGATCCTGGCCAAGGTGCGCTCAAGCAGTACGTGTTGGTGATGGCCTACATGGTGATCACGATCTGGTTCACGTCTATACCACTGAGAGAGCGGCGTAAGCATGTTCCGTTCATCATTCAACGCCTTTTAGGCGGCAACCCAAGGATGATTGATGAGCAAACGTATACATGCATTGATATGCTCTCGCGATTTTCATTTGCTGATGTGGATCTGGCACCTGAAAAATCAATCGTGTCCAAGATACTGATGGGTGATCATGATGACAACCGAAGCTCACCATCGCTGAAACAACAGAGTCAAAAGACGTGGGTCTATGGTCATACTCTACTGACCTTGCGCACGGCCAAATCAGCAGGCTGGGTCGAAGTCACCGTTCGACGTCCTTCAGGCACTGTATCCATGATGTGCTATGTAGAAAACAAGCTCAAGTCGGATGGTATCGATTACAGAACGCTACCTGCCTTACTGATGATGCAATACCAGCCTGATATTCTTGCCAACAAAATCATGCAACACACGGAAACAGACGACCAAGAGGGAGAAGAAAAGCGACTACCAGAGGAGGTGATTGGCGACATCATGTCAGAGCCAGCCACGACAACACCCGCTTCAAACAATCTTTCGCACCTATTAAAAACCGATCTATCGATAGACCCCGGATTCTTATACCTTCAACTCAACAACTACCCCGACCTAACACGTGCGATTGATGTATCTCCACCTCTGCCTAATGATGAATCCACCGCACGCACCCTGGCCACATTTGACCGTATACCCGTCGTTGACTTTCACAAGATCGGCGTGCTGTACGTCGGCAAAGGCCAGCGACACGAAGTCGACATCTTGGCCAACACGTATGGGTCTCCAGACTACGTTCGATTCTTGAACGCTCTCGGCACCATCGAGAGGCTGCGCGGGCGCACAGGCAATTCTGGAGGATTGGATAGGGAAGCTGATATTGACGGACGCTTTGCTTACTTTTGGAAAGACGACGTGACCGAGGCCGTGTTCCATATTGCAACGCTGATGCCAACTCATCTGGACCGCGACCCACAGTGCAGTGCCAAGAAACGGCATATTGGAAATGACTATGTGACGATCGTCTACAATGATTCTGGGCTAGACTATGCCTTTGACACACTCCCTTCACAATTCAACTTTATCAACATTGTCGTCTCGCCTCATTCGATCTCGACCGAAGCGATTTCGCCTACGCACGCGTTAGGAGGAGCTGAAAACACGTTTTTCAAGGTTGAGATGCAACGTCGACCGGACATGCCTGATATCGGCCCGCTGTTTGAACCCAAGCTGGTCTCGGCTCAGTCCCTACCTGCCTTTGTGCGTCAAGCGGCTATTCATGCCAACATCTTTGCTCAGGTGTTTTGGCAGTCGGCGGGTGCCAAACGCGAATACGTGACGCATTGGAGAGAACGATTACGACAGATTCTACGAATTAAGGAACGATTGGCGGTAAAGACAAATAGTGCCTCATCGACGCCTAATACAACACCCAATCCTAATAATTATGCCGAGTCTAACAAAATGCATACCGTAGAGGCGATTCTTGATTTCACAAAATACACGTAAATAAAATCAGCTGCTTCTTTTTTTCTTCTGTAATATATATACATTTATTTGTTGTCTCTTTGTTTCATAATCACGGGTAATCGTCTCTCATAGGCTGACATGGGTAACCTGTTTTCAGAACGAACTACGGTACCAACAGCTATATGTAAAATGAATGAGATATAGGTCATACATAGATGAGGATATACAAACACATGAAAAGACCAAATGAAGCAGCAGATCCAAGCATATATTTACTGAGTAGTGTGATGGGATTACTATTGCCTGGACCAAAACTTACAAAAAATACACATTAATAACAGGCATTATATGAAATATTCTCAAGTTACCGAATGAGACTTATACTTCCAAAAACAAAGCCGATACATAAACCAACCGTGCCTCCCATAGCAGCACCCATTTTCATTTTATCAACAGTTGAAGGCTCCATTTTTATATATGAAAAAAAAAAAAAAAAAAACATTTATGCTACTTTGGAATACACACTAAATATATACGCGTGACTTTTTTTGCGCTTGGGAATTTTTTATTTTGTTTAAGCGGATAAATGAGGGGGCAGAGAGAAGAAAAAAGAGAGGGGGAATTGGTTGTCTTGTTTTTATTTTTTCTTTTCATTCTACTGTTGTGGTTGTTCCATAGCCTATCAATAAAGGGTTAATTATCTTTTACTTTTTTTTATTTTCATATCTTACCTCGGGAGCTGCTCCTTGAGGAGCCATTTGTTTGTTCTTTGAAAGACCCGAAACGATATCATCAACACGCAACAATAAACATGCAGACTATAGAAGCAAATGATAAGTAAGCCTTTTTTTGAATTGTGTCTATCTTACCTCGATAGCAGTCTTGATTGTCTGAACCTTGACAGCACTGGGTTCCCAAACGCCGTAATCCTTCATATCGACGACCTTACCAGCTTCACCATCAATACCAAAAGAGTGTTCACCAGCAGTATGCTTGGCTCTGAGCTGTGTTAAGGTCTTGATGGCATTTCCACCACAGTTTTGAACCAATGTACGAGGAATGACTTCCATAGCTTCAGCAACTGAGCGGTAGGGCCATTGCTCGACACCTTCGATCAATTTGGCCTTTTCTTCAAGCTTGACAGCGACAGCCATTTCTGTTGCACCACCACCAGGAGCAAGTTTTGCACTAAAGAAGACATTACGGGCAACACACATGGCGTCTTGAAGATTACGTTCAACTTCATTAATAATATCTTTGCTGGGACCACGTAATACGATAGAACAAGCCTTGGGGTCTTGGCATTTGGTCAAGAAGGTAAAGTATTCGTCTCCGATCTTGTCAATGTTGAAGAGACCACACTTGGTACCAACATCGGATTCCTTAAGATCATCCACACGGTTCACGATGGTGGCGCCAACAGCACGAGCAATACGGTTGTTATCTGTTTTGCGGACACGACGAATGGCAGTGATATTTGCCTTGACAAAGTAATGTTGTGCGAGATCTAAGAGTAGTGAGTTAAATGATAATAGACGTTTTTTATATTATTATTACCAGAAACACCCTTTTCGGTAAAGACTAAATCAGGCTTTAAAGAGATGATCTTTTCGCACATAGCCTTGACTTGTTCTTCTTCAATCTGAAGAATGCGGTTCCAATCGGCCTCCTTTGTAATTTCGATATTTGTTTGAGATTCACCCTTTTTATATTCAAGAGGGCAGTCAAGCAAGATGATACGTGGGTTTTCGATACGACGACGCATCTTGGGGTGTGTGACATCCTTATTCAAGATGATACCGTCCAGCACTTGTGATTGTTCAATTTCTCCACCAGGAATCTTTTCGACACGAGCGTATCGTTTGAGATCAACTTCCATTTTATCAGTCGATTCGTCTTTTAGAGCTACCGTACGCACAGCTTCCAAAGCAAGTTTACACATTAGGTCGCTCCAGGTGCTTGTGAACTTGGTGCCAATAGAGGATTTGATCAAATTTGTCATTTCTTCGTTATTATTGATATCAACAGGAGTAGAGATTTCTTCGACAATGGTCAAAGCGTCTTCTAAAGCCTTTTTGAAAGCACTGATGATCACAACAGGGTGAATGTTGTTATTAATGTGAGGTAAAGCACCAGCGAGGACTTCACCAGCTATATGTATAGAGTGTCAAAAAAAAAAAGACCATCTTGTTTCTTTTTGTTTAAATTACCAAGAATGATGACACTGGTTGTTCCATCGCCTACTTCTTCATCTTGGGTTCTAGAAAGTTCAATCATACTTTTAGCAGCTGGATGATCCACTTCAATTTCACGGAGAATGGCGTTTCCATCATTTGTTAACAAGATGCCGCCCATGGGGTCCAATAACATCTTGAGCATCGATCGAGGACCAAGACAGGTGCGGATGACATCAGCTACAGTCTATGAAATATACTACGTTCAGAATCAATCAAATAAAAAAATAAACTTACTTTGGCAGCAGTAATATTTGAGAGCTGAGCCTTACGTCCTGACTCACGTTCCATGTTGGTATCTATTTAAATACATAAGTCTCTCTCTTTGGTTGTTGTACCATAGCCTGTTTTCTTACTCATAACAATCACTGGGGCCTGCATCTTTAAAATTTTTTTTAAGGAGAGCGCGTTGAATTTTTTGACAAAAGGGAAAAGAACACAGGATTTTAACCTAAAATGAGAACAAATATTCGAGAGACGACTGAAAAATTTTATTGGATAATAACAATTCAAATTTTATTTGGAGATCATTTGCAAAGCAAAGGCTTTCTTTCTCCGGAATTTCTCCTTAAGAAGCCTTTGTGTTTAGGAACAGTAATTTCAGCAGCAATGGATCTTAACTTGGATTCATTGTGTTCCGTAATCTTTCAAAATACATAGTGTTACCTATCATAAGAAAACGCGTTATTTTTACCGAAAAACCTCATGCAAATCCATCTTGTACGTTCTGTCAAAAGCTGAAGTTCTTTCTTCGGCCCAAGCCAATTCAACTACATCGCTGTTTGCCAAAAATAATTGGTGAAGTATTGTGATACTTATATATATATATATATATACAGCAATTGTTCTTTTCAGCACACGACGCACTATCAATAGATCGACGAATAATTCATTTGAAGTCTTCTTTGGGGTTTTGGAGTTCATTGGCAAAAGAAAAGTAATCCATAGAAAAAACGTCTTTATCAAGCTGCGAATCAAGCCATTTTCGGTATTTGTATTTGTTACTGACTCCTCTAATTGTGAATCGCGCCTGTTTTATTCAGCATTGTTATTGAAAATTACACGAGAGCCAAGTGATCTTGGTTGCTGTAATCATTCTGTTCTTTATTAGTTCAAATTGTACAACGTAAAATAAAACACAGTGATCCTTTATCTTCTTGAGTGAGACTGTAACAAACAAAGAGACAAACCGAGAAGAAAAAAGGAAGAGGAGGGCGGCACAACCAAGATCACTTCAAGCGAAGTTACGATAATGCTTCGACAATGAAGAGCGCTTTAAATAATGACACAGAATACTTTCACTTCTTTAACCTCTTTTCATGTTGATGACATCCATAAAAAGGTATCTGTCCGCACTACTACTGCTACTGACTCTTATGAAATAATTAGGCTAAACAGTATTTGGATAAGAAAGACGTTCATATGGGTGACATAGAGATAGATACATGACAAATATTTATTAGTAGGTTATTAGTGCTATTGTTTGTGAAAAGAAAAGAACAGCTTAAAAATCACCGTAATTTGAGTGTATGCTTAATAACTGCTTGTTTTCAAGCTAGAACATTTGTTATTTCTTGTACATATTTGACCAGTCTTCTTGGAGAAGTGGAGGCCTGGACTGTGGCGTGAACGGCTCTAAACATCGAGTTATTGTATCTGGTTAGCTGTTGTATTCAGTTTTGTGATTGCAAAAAGGCAGTTAAGTCGATGACTTGCGAATTAGATTCTTTATTAAGAAGAGTTAAATATTATTAAAGTAAGATGCATGTGCATTTTATATGGGAGATTGAATGTTGTCAATATGATAAATGTGGTCAATGTGGTTACTTATGCTTATATTATTATTGTTATTATAAGTTATCCTTATCAGATGCGATAGAGGAGTGTAGAGTAGAATGTACGCTCTACTGTGAGATTATACTCGAGTTATTATAATGATTATCTTGTCAAACATGTCATTAGCTTCTCAAAATATATGCAATTTTCTGTTTAAAAAAAAAAAGGAATGGTAATTGAGTAAAAAATAGATCGTAATATTACTATAGTAGCGCATACAGAACGTTTGTTCTGTTGAAGAGGATGACTGAGTATTGAGAATTTGCAGCATTTTTGAGTAGAGCTTCGTTACGTTACGTTGGTTTTTACAATTTGGTGTCCTGTCGTTAAACTCTCAGAAAATTCAATCAAATCTGCTGAGCAGGGCTTGTCTTTAACTTTGAACAGCACGCCATCCCACTTTGATTTTTTCGAAGCAAAGAGCTCACATTCTAATCAATCTAGCTCAATTACATTGTTATCCGACATAAACAATTGGTTTACGATAAAGATGATAAAGTAGGCAGCAGCCGTTCTTTCTAATATGTTTTGATTTAGAGGACTGTCTGGTGAAGACATTAGATCCAAACTAAAGATGCATAGATTAGTATTATATGAACATATTAAAAATATGGTATAAGTAACGAATTGTCACCTTGATGAATGCGGCATCAAAATTAAGTATGAAATCAAATCCTGTCGTAAAGTCATTTATATACAAAGCGTTTCATAAAAGCGACAAAGAAAGAGGGCTCCTTTCAAGAGCATTTAAGAGTTGTGTAGCATATTCAGGTAGGGTTATAAGTTCAACATTGGTTACAGTAGTAATTTTATCAAAGGTTCCGACTAGGATTTCGGATTGAAGTATTTGTGACGCTGATCGAGACGATAAATCAATGATTTTCAGATGACCCACTCTACTCAGTTTATAACAAAATACCAGTTATAAAAAGTATACCGTTATTTCTTAACATCAAGTACTTACTCGTCAGAAGCTAAAGCCGATAGCTGCTTTAAAGCAATTGATATTCCGTCATCTTTATGTTCATCGTCTTCATTTTCATTAACCTCAAGTTCATCATCTACGTCCTCATCTGAACCATAAACCTATGTATTTTAAAGAATAAGTTTTAGGTCCCTCACTATACTACATGATAAAATTTATAATAATAATAGCCTTCTTTGCGAGTTGTCAAATAATTCTATTTGCCAACTTGCTCAATTCGACAATTGTTTGTCGGTTCTCCTCTTGAATAGCTCTTGTCAACCTAGCCTCAGTTTCTGGTTCCAATACAAATTGTATCTAAGTCCAAAGTCGTTATCCTCATCATTTCGCAACTACAAAAATGAATATTATCAGAATTTCTAGTAACTGTCAGCAGTCATTAGTACTAACCGCAATAATGACCTGGGGTCTTCGACAATCTTGGTCAACTTGTTACTTTACTTTGTCGAAAGATGAAGGATTCTGGAGCCAATGCAAAGAAGTTCAAGGCTCACTCTCTGCAATCAGCAGCAAGCACGAATGCAGCATCGCTGGGTGTTCCCATAGAGCAAGTAAAGTTGCATTCGAACTGGAGCTTGATGAGAAACATGATTGAAAAATACTGTTACAGACCAAGAAATAAGCACGAACGTGGATCGGATATTGTCAACACTGTTTGGAGAAGTTACCAAGAACCACATCCGAGATCGGAGTAAAGGCAACGGCAACTGTAGTAGGCATAATGGCTATGTTGTCAAAACAAAGACTAAGGATGCAGTGAACCTCCTCCTATGATATATGAAGGCATATACTCAGCCTGTCCCTGTCACCAATTCCCCAAACCACAGACCAATGCACAGTTAGAAAGACGCGAAGAATAAAAATAAGAAAGTAGTTTTATTGTATTATATTACTGAGAATAAAGCGCGGCTAAAAAGCCTATAACCACATCATTAGTCTTCGTTTCGGCAACATAGCTATTTAACAACATCAACTCTTCTTGAATACAAGAGAACTATTGGGCAGTGACGATGTCACTATTGGAGGCATAAAATAGAGAGCTTTGAAAGACAAAAAAACACTAGGACTGTAAATTCTTGCGGAGATTCAGCGTTCTCCCCCTTGAAGTGTCAAAAAAAAAATATAGATTAGTTTATTCTATCCTTCATGTTGCGCATTTTACGACCATTAACTAACTCATCAAGACCGATATCACAAGCATATCGTTATTACAGTAGCCCAACAGCTAAAATCGAGAAAGAGCCATTGTCACCATTAGCAAAACATTTACATGATTCTATCAAGGTAACACTTGAGTTAATTGATCAAAAAGCAACTCATCACCCGATTTACTGTTTTGTATCTTAGATATCGGGGCCACTTACTGTAGCACACTTTATGCGTCAGGTGCTCGTGAACCCATTAAGTGGATACTATATGTTAGGCGACGTGTTTGGAAAACAGGGTGACTTTATTACTTCACCAGAGATCAGTCAAGTCTTTGGAGAGGTAAGGGCAAATATATATGTAGGATATGTGGTCACTGAAGACTCCCTCTTTTCTTTAAAAAAAAAGTTATGTGGTATCTGGTACTTGACAGAATGGATGAGGCTGGGCAAACCAGAAAAGACACAAATCATCGAATTTGGTCCAGGTCGTGGTACATTGATGAATGATATGTTGAGGGTAAGTTGAACACATTCACACGTATACAAGCGTGCGTATGAGTGTATGTGTGCGTGCGAAATAATAAAGACTAAAAATATTCTTGTAGGCATTATCGCATTTTCCTCATTTTTATAAAACAATCACTGATATTCGATTGATTGAAGCAAGTCCTGGGCTACGCAAGATGCAGAGAGCGGCTCTAGTCAAAGGATCAGAAGATAAAGACGTTTTACGACAAGATAAAGGGTCAGGCATCGAAACAATTACTCGTGACGATGGCATTACCATCTCCTGGTGTGATGGTATCGAGCTTGTTCCAGGTATGATAAATAAGAGTGTAATCGGAAAAGTATGTAATTGGATACTGTAGACCAATGGTCATTCGTTATGGCTCATGAGTTCTTTGATGCTCTACCAATTCACATCTTTGAGGTAAAAATAGCGTGTGTGTGTGTGTGTGAAAATGTGGATAAAAAATAACCTTGCCGATATAGAAAGTGGAGTCAGAATGGAAGGAAGTGTTGATAGATATTGATGATGATAACGAAAAGTAAATAGAAAATCGGTCTAGAAAAGGAAAGAAAGGGGCGCTTATACTATTTAGGGAATATAACTTTCGTTTTGTAACATCTGCTCAACCAACAGCAGCGACAAAAGCCTTTTTAGACGACGAGCGATTTAAATCATTCAAGGACGGAGATAGAGTTGAGATTTCTCCTGATAGTTGGAATTATATTCATGCTATTGCGCAATACTTGAATAGAAATGGTGGAACGGGGTTAGTCATTGACTATGGACAAGATTATATTCAAGGACATACATTGAGAGTAAAAATAACAAGAGCACTTGATTGACTCTGTGTTACACTTTAGATTAACGTTACTTGTAGGCAATTAAGAATCACAAAATCATTCATCCAATGAGTGATCCAGGTACTGCTGATTTAAGTGCAGACGTCGACTTTGCATATCTAAAACAAGTAATTAAAGAACGATCAGGCAAGTTGGTTTGAAGTTATACATGTGCCTCTCTGTTTCTGATAATACATATAATAGATATCATCACTTTTGGCCCCATCACACAATCAGAATTCTTACAGTCTCTTGGTATACATGCCAGAGTAGAAAAATTATTTAGAAGTGCGAAATCATCGGCTAGTCGAAAGGCAATCCTTGACGGAGCAGAACGTTTAATGGATCCCAAGCAGATGGGAAGAATATACAAGGTTTTGGCCTTTTCTAAAAGTAACAATGTTGATTCCGGGTTTCCAGTTGGATTTGAGAATAAAAGTACTTGAATAAATGGTTTAAGAATTTAAATTGTAGTACTTTCTTTATAAAGCTTATATTGCCTTTTATAGGCAATATAAAGCAGTTGCACCATTTGATTGTGATAGAAGGGACAGAAAGGAATGCATTATCAAAAAGAGTAGACTCATTTCGTGATCTGTGGTTTCAAGTATTTCATTGGTATATTTACCATAATCTGTGATACTTGAGTTTCCTAGGCAAACTATGCATATAAATACATGAGCTTTACACTTGGACCATAAACAAACATCCCCCTTTTTTTATCTACTTGCATTTCTCTCTCTCTCTCTCTTTTTTTTAATTTACTTCCCCTTTTCACCATAAATGACGGACGAGAAAAAAGAAGAAGTCCTTCAAACAGAAGAAAAAGTCGAAACTACCACTGAAATCAAGCAAGAACATCATGATGAATTCTGGTTAAGGGATTCAAAAGATGTGAAGATTGATGAAGAAAGCAAGCACTTTGATGCTGAGCATCACGAAGAAACGGATGAAATCGATATCGCCATTGTTAATGAAATTGCCGTCACTGATGATGACCCTACTCTTCAGGCTTTCTCTGTTCGTGCTCTTGTCGTTGGTATTGTAAGTATAACCATCAGTTAAAGTATTCGTCGCTAATTACCTTACAACAGCTTCTCTCTGCTCTTTCATCCTCTGTGAGTCAACTGATGAACTTTAAGCCTGTTGGTGTGCCCTTATCAAGTGTCTTTATGCTTATCCTTGCCTATGTCTTTTGTAATCTCTGGTATCGACTTCTTCCTAAAGGTGGCTGGCTTAACCCCGGTCCGCTCAACTACAAGGAACACACCTGTATCTATGTCATGGTTTCATCTGCTAATACTGCCGCTTACGGTACATACATCTTGGGTGCTCAAGAACTCTATTTTGGTCAATCACCTGGGCCCGCTGGCTCCATCTTTTTATTACTTGCTACGCAACTTGTAGGTTATGGTATTGCTGGACAACTTAGACCATTCCTTGTATACCCAGCCAACATGATCTGGCCACAAGCTTTACCCAACATTTCCGTCTTGAAGACTTTCAACACTGACAAGGACGAAGCTCGTTATCGTACCAAGTTTTTCTTCATCGTCTTTGCAGGCATCTTTATCTATGAATTCATTCCTCAATACATGTTCCCTCTTCTCTCTTCCATCTCCATTGTCTGTCTCGCTAGAAGAGATAGCAGTGTTGTTCAAAATATCTTTGGTGGAGCTGCTGTCAACGAAGGCATGGGTATCTTCAACTTTAGTTTTGACTGGAACTTTTTATTGAATGCCACACCTCTTGTTATCCCTTTCTGGGTTCAGGTCAACTATTTCCTTGGTATTGTCTGTATCTGGATTATTGCTCCTCTCCTCTATTACTCTGACGTATGGCACGCTAAAAGCTATCCCTTCCTTTCTAATGGTATTTACCGACGTTTTGACAATGGTACCTCTGTCAAGTACCCTCAAAAGGCAGTTCTTAATCCTGATATGTCTATCAACGCCACAGCCTTGGAAGAAATTGGCTATCCTCAATTCGCAGCTGTCTATGCTTTCAGTTATATCGTTCTCAACTTTGGTGTTACTGCTACTATTTCCCACGTATTCCTTTTCTATGGTAAACAAATCTGGAGACAATTCCGTCAAGCCTGGAAGAGCTCTGTCAATAAGGATATGGATATCCACCAACGTCTTATGCAGAAATATAATGAAGTTCCCAACTGGTGGTACTATATCATTTTCATTGGTGGTATTGCTTTGAATATTGGCATTGCCTACGCAAATCAAAGTCAACTTCCATGGTGGGGTGTCATCTTCGCCATTGCTCTCTCTACCATTCTTTCTCTTCCTCTTAACTTGATTTATGCTGTTACTGGTAATAACTTTGGCTTGAACGTCTTGACCGAAATGATCTGTGGTTTCATCATGCCTGGTTACGCCATTGCCAATATGTACTTCAAAACTCTCGGCTACAACACCATGAGTCAGGCAGGCCTCATGGCTAAAGACTTAAAGATCGGTCATTATCTCAAGGTTCCTCCAAGATGGACCTTCTTCAGTCAGATGGCTGGTACCGTCGTTGGCTGTTTTTTTAACTACATTGTTAACAAGATCATTGTTGAAAACGAACGTGAGGTTCTTTTGACACCTGGTGGTAATCAATTCTGGAGTGGTATCTCTCCTCAAACCATTAACTCTGCTGCTATCACCTGGGGTGCTGTTGGTCCCAACCTTATGTTTGGTCCCAAGAGTAACTACTACATCGTCCTCTGGGCTCTTCTCATAGGTTTCTTCCTCCCAGTTCCTTTCTGGTTACTCCACAAGAAGTTCCCCAAGGCTGGGTTCCAGTATGTCAATATTCCTACTCTCTTAATGGGTATGGCCATCATCCCCGGTGCTGCCACTGGTTGGATCACAGTCGGCTTCGTTCTCGTTGTTGTCTCTCAGTACTACTTGAAACGAAGATATACTGCTTGGTTCTCCAAGTATAACTACCTTCTCTCTGCTGCCCTCGATTCAGGAACCTCTCTTATGGTCTTCTTCCTTTCCATGGCATTACAAGGTGGCGGTAACGGCCAAGCTTATCCTTTCCCAACTTGGGCTGGTAACCGTGCTGATCTCCCATTTATGGACTACTGTTGTGCTGAATGTGAATAAGATTTTTATTTATTGTTGTCTTCATTGACCTACTCCTACTTTTACTATTTAATATCATAATAAACATTATAATTACTCTGGGATAATAAGGATACATTCTTAAGCATTCGCAAATTAGTTTATTTGAAAGCTTAGAGTAAAGTGTTGAATATCCGTTGGTTGTTCACTCTAGCTTTGACAGTCAAGGTGTTTGTGTTTGCATAGATCGTGTACATTTTACAATTTTAGCAAATAAATGACAATAGGAGCAGGACTATTCATGAAGCATTATTTTATCCTACATTAGGCACTAGGGTCCTTACTGCTCGAATAGGTATAAAATACCCCAATTGTATGAAACCTCGTTTTGGCTCGATAGTCATGCTGAACCCTAGTCAAAACTGGATAAAACAATTTATCACTGTACAACAAAAATTGAACAGTTCATTCGTTGGCAGATGACTCATTTACAATGTGTCAATCAATTGCGTAACGAGTAATAAGAAAAACTTCACATGTAACAGTGTTGTAATGATGACAATATTATTCAATTTCATATTATAATGGCTTTGGTTGTAGCATATCGGATTATATCCTTTTTAGAAGGATTAATAAATTAAGTCTGATATTTCTGTAGTTCAATTCACGAATACTTCGTAAAATAAAACATTTATATTAAACTTGTATTTTGGACAAGGCTCAAACAAGAGTCTTTTATTAATGTGTGAAAGAATTCATGTTTGTAATATAATGATAGTGTTAGTAAGCTTGCTTAAGAAAACCTCTGTTTACTGAGACCTTTTCTGTCAGCGAATCGACGACTATAATATCAGAGATGAATGATAGTCTCATGGTTAAACAAAAGAGGTTACTGTTTTCTCGCTTTGCCTTCTATTTGTAACGATGTTGACGGAAGTAAGAATGAACTCATTTCTATAGCAAGGCTGATTAGCCTGAAGACTTGGCATCTCCTTGCACTTTCTTCAAGAGTGGTCGCCAATATTAATTTTCTTAACAATTGTAGCTCTGGGGGAAAAAGTGAAAGCAGATCTGCATGAGAATTACTCCTTTTGGCTTTTACACATAAAGGAAAGATGTATTTTATAGTCCTCTATTCTCTCCGCCATGCTTTACTATTTATTGAAGGGCTAGACTTGTTAGCAAAGCACTTTGACCAACTACATGGGTATCCCTATGACACACATCGTTTTCGTGTTCCTATATTGATGGCTTTATGCGTAATTCTTGTGTATCCCTTACTCTTGCACTTTCTAGACAGGATGATGCTCATGCAATCTGTTCAACTAACACTTTATGAATGACATAGTACCTACGAATACTGATAAATATTGAGACAGCTGTTTCTCCTTTGTAACAATCGATAGAATACATATTCAATATCTCCTAAAAAGAGTCATTGTAATAACAAGAAAATTCTCGTTTCTTTGCATATGCTCATTTTCAGCGACTAGGATAAAGCACTTACCAAATTTGCTTAAACTTGTTTATGGTGGCAACCTTTATCACAAGATACTGTGGTTAAGGTTATTCAGATGATGCATTCTACTGAAGTACTCGCCTCTTTTTTTTTTTTTTTTGAAATTGGCCTCTTGTATAAACTTGATAGAGTCAGCAGATATTTCCACTCTTCTTTTTTAAAGCACTCAGGATATTCTGATTCTTCTAGGGATGCTCTCTCATCCATTATCTATCAGAAGGATTCAAGCACGAGTACTTGTTTATTTTCAAATTTAACTAAATCAGTAAAATGCCAAATAAATTTTTTACAAGATCCAAGGCTCCAATTTTATTTACTATAAAATAAGCTTAAAAGAAAGAAGCTTTCTTTTTCGTTTTTTTAAAAAAAAATGTTTTTCAAAAATTTCTTTTCGCGGTCGAGTCAACTGTCCGTCGGATCCTTTGTGGTGAAGATGAAAGCTGTATTCTTAAAAATTTTCTTTTAGAATTGCCTTGAGAGTAGTTCCTACCTTGGTACGCGGTATGTGGAGAGTCCTTCTCTGCATTGCTTGCAATGCCTTGACAGTGATGCTTACTTCTCTGGCAATTGTCTCAGAGGAAATCAAGGATGCCGTTTGTACATACTAACTTGGCTTCTTAGTTCCTCTGAGACTTGCATATACTGTATATATTTTTGTATCTTTACTCTTGTACATACTTTGTATTTTTATTTATGTATATTACTTTGTACATATCCTCAACTTGTAAATAAGATGCTGAAGCCCTGCTCCCTTCTCATCTATCATCATCTCTCTTTCTCTCTCTTTCGCTCTCTGTCTGCCTTCCTGTATGCCTGTTTACTTGCCTTCCTCTGTTGACTCTTCTTCTCTTTGCCTTCCCTTTGATAATCACGGCAAAGAAATTGACCATGGAGCTAAAAAAAAAAAAAAAGGACATCAACAATCACCAGGACACAAACCAAACCCGTAATTTATCAAGCGTGAACGCCAATCTATCTTCTGAATACCTCATTGGCAAGTGCATTTAGATATAAAAACTAACATAGAAAACATAAAAATGTCAGGCTGATGACTCAATATCCGCTGTAACATGAATCGTGGCCAAAAGGGGTCCGTCGTAGTGTAAAATTTCTGGGCTACTAGAATCCATATCAAAACTCGTTCACATCTTGTAAAAGTCATTCTTATTTGTAAATCACTTGTATAAAATAAAAAGTTGCTTTTATTGCTCATCCTTAATTATCTCTTGACTGATCTTGTTGTGTGAAACCTGCTGCATTATAAAATCGCTTGTACACTCAGCCCATAGCAACAGCACGCTTAATACACGCTCAATGTAGGAAGATGTGATCAGCCATTTAGTTTGTATAGCATTACTTTCGCAATACAACAGACTTACTATACATCCTATTAAGTATATATTGCTATGGTAAACAGAAAAAGAAAAAAAAAAAGATAGATAAGCAGATAGATATAA